GATGGAGTGATTGTGTGAACTAATGTAAATTCAAAGTAAACATCATCATTACATAAAAGGGTACGGTCTTTTTTTTTTAGTTTTCTTCATTTCAAACAGGCTGGATCCGGCCCGCGGGCCGTAGTTTGCCCACGGCTGCTCTAGGGCCTCCAGGGAGGTGCAAATTCAGCCATTGCCTGGGGCCACCTTGCAGCAGGTATTTGTATTGGGCTTGGAGGTGCCCAGGCGAGGCCCAGCTGTGAAGCAAGGCAGTCTGGTGCTTGTGCCAGGTCTTGGGCATTTTACTGATAGGTTTGGGGCATGCTGACCCAGCTGCAGCTTATTTTAGAGATTTTAGCAAAGTCTGAAGCCTGAGCAAGGATAGGCCATTCATATGCAAAAGCTACTACAAATAGGTTGGGTGGGGCTGCAAATTGGATGGACTGGGACAGGGGTGGGCAAACTTTTTGACTTGAGGACCACAGTGGGTTCTTAAACTGGACCGGAGGGCTGGAACAAAAGAATGGAGGGAGTGTTTGTGTGAACTAATATAAATTCAAAGTAAACATCATTACATAAAAGGGTACGGTGTTTGTTTGTTTGGTTTTTTTTTAGTTTTATTCATTTCAAACAGGCCGGATCCGGCCCACGGGCCATAGTTTGCCCACGGCTGGAGTGGGATCTCAGGGAATTGCCAGGGCGGAGCAAACACCTATGGCTGCCAGTCAGCCCTGTAACCAGGGAGGTCCCAGCACAGAAACAGTGACTCCTGGGACCACCTCCCTCTGGGTGAAAGCCTCCAGAGTTCCTGCCCTAATGCCAGACAGTCCTGTTCTTCCTCGTGTGTGTCTGGGTCCCCCAGAGCAACGGTTGCCAACCAGTGGTCTGCGAACCACTGGTGGTCCGTGAGGTCCAAAAGGTTGGCAACCGCTGCCCCAGAGCCTCACCCTACCACTGGAGCTCAGAAGAAGCTGGACCTTGTAAGTTCAGTTTGTGAGCTGGCCCTTTAAAAGGAACACCTGAGTCACGAGCAGCCTCCATGTCACTGAGCCCCAGTCCCCACTGATTTTTACAGCCCATAGTTACGGGTACTTCTTTTCCCAGCTCTGGGACCCTGGGCTGGGGTTCTGGTGTGGGGCTGGGACCCCTTGCTCCTCACCCAGGGCCTCCATAGGGACGATCTCCCTCTGGATTAAAGTGGCACACGTGCGTGCCATTCCAGCCCATTCCACACCTCCGCCCCTCCTACCAGTCTCAGTGTGCTTTCCTCTTTACTTCCCTAGTTGTAGGGCTTCAGTTCAGCCAGCTTTCAGGCGGTTCTGAATAATGGTTGTTCAGTATTTTGATGGGAGGCAGCAAGTACAGGTGGTTACCTCCACCGCCATCTTGGTTCTTTTACCCAGATGTTAGATTTTAAACCCAGACTTTAAAAGAGTTATAAATATTTTCAAAAGAAATAAGCAAAACATATTCAGTAAATCACATAAACATTTGGTTAATGCAAAATAAGAAATTTCTGTAGAAAAGTGGAAACTGAAAAGGAACCTAATAAATTGAGTAACTGAAAGGAGCAGCAAATGAAATGAAATGAAAAATTTACTGGATGGGCTAAGCAGCAGTTACAATAGGATCGGTCAGTTGAAATTATGTGATCTGAAGAATAGGATTAAAGAAAAATTGACAGGCTTTTAGGATCTGTAGAATAATATCATACAGTAGAACATGACATTTGAGACAAAGGAGAAGAGACTGGGAATAGGAAAAATAGAGAAATAAGGGACCAGAATTTTTTCCAAATTTGATGAAAATATTGATTTACAGATCCAAGAAATTCAGTACACTTTAGGCATGATGCACAAGGAAAAGCACATCTAAACAAATCATGGTGGCATTGAAAAAGATAAAGAAAAAATCTTGAAATCAGCTGGTAGAGAAATGATATATTTCATTGTGGGCGACAGTGATACCAGTCATCTTTGATTACTTACTGGAAATAATGACATCTGAAGAATAAAGTAATGATACATTGTAAGTTATAATAAAAAATGAATTTACCCAGTTTTTTTTATAGAGAGAAAATATTCTTCACAAAAACGGTAAAGACATTTTTATATAAATGAAATTGAGAGGATCCATAGCTAGTATATCTTCACTATAAGAAAGTATTCAGGGCAAAGAAGAGTACTATCGACCAGAAACTGGATCAATAAAAAATGACCAAAAAATAAAAACGAAAGAAATGGTTAATGAACAAATATGAAAGACAGTGTTTTGTATTCCTATAATTTAACTAAAATACATATGGCTATTTAAAAGAAAAACTTATTTTGGAAGGTGAAGTGTGTAAAATATGTAGAAAAACATGACACCAACAGCACAAAGGATGGTGGGATGGTTAAACGGAATTATACCACTGAAAGATTGTTACCTTTAGAGGTTATTATACTTTTCAGTAAAGAGTGTAAAATAGGATAGGAAAAGTGGGAAATGGAAAAGAGGAAGTGTTCCAAATTGACTGAGATGTTAGGATTCATCCATAGCTAAGGAGCAGTCAATGGGACACATACTAGTATTCAAAATAAGACAGGAAAGAAACAATGGAAAAAATTATAAAAGGAAAATATTATAGTAGACTTAAATATAACCATATCAATAGCTACTACATTTTCTTGTGAAAGAAAAAAAATTGACTGATAAAAAGCAAGAACCAAATATATCGCTACAAGAAATAAATATGCAAATAAGTTGGAAGCAGAGCTATAAAAAAGATATAATATACCAAACAAATAGTAAGTAAAAAATAAAATATTAATATCAGATAGAGTTTACAGAAGATCAGAATGGGGGAACATTTCACAAGGTCACCAAAGGGTTGCTTTGTAAATACATAACTATCATAAATGCCTCAGTTGCATTTAATTCACTTCAAACTTACATTTTAGGTGTTCTAGTTTTCT